CAGTGGATCCGGTGAGCTGGCGAGATCGCGATGAGATGACCCTCAGCAACCTCCGATTCGGAGACTCACAGCTTGAAGAGATGATCCCATGTTGGGTCGAGAACCCGCTCGATGGTCGGAGTACGCTGCAACTCTACGCCGTCTCGGTGAATCACAGCGTAGAGGTTTGGTTTGCTGCGATGCATCGAGCCAGACGTCCATCGAATGCCTTCCACAGAGCGCACTACGGTGGATGAGGACTTGACCGACCAGGAACAACTGTCACGAACCGAGCAGAGCGTAGTTTGGCGACATGAAGCTGGGGCCGCGATATCGTAGCTCGTAAGCTACGTGGCAGATCACCCAAAATAGCTTGTGATAAAAAAGAAGTAGATGGCAGAGCACGGGACAGCAGTCAGCGAAGGAAGGGGGGGTATCTATATAATAATACAAAATGATTCCCAAAGAACTTTTCCTTGATGTTCCAAACGCACACAGTCACCCTTTTTCGGCCTCTTCTGCACTTCTTCCCACCCAGATATGGTTCAGCGGGCTCACGCTCAACTTCTCGGAGTCTCCCCACGTCTTCCCACCCACACGCTCTCACGGTCGCGCTCAGCACACCCAGTAAACAACTTCTCACCTGCCACAGTCATCAACTCAAACACAATTACAGTGGGAGTGTGGTAAGTTGAAAGTTGGTGAAGCTATACCAGTAGCAAGTCCAACATCACCAGCTGCAAAAAAACTCGTGTTGAACCTCAGATTATCATCGTTATGTCTTATTCCTGTTGGACAGCGAGAAAATTCAAGTTGTTCAACCTCAACTTGACGGTTTTATATCAATTCAGCAGCTGTCGGGATTATCCAGACTAAGACTATGTTATCCGCGAATTTATTCGCAGGCTCATTCTAGTAAAGGATAAAAATAAAGTACTGGCAGAAACGAAGAGGGATCGCTAGAGAAGAAATGAGGCTAGGGAAGGTATCGTAGCAGATATATGGGCATAACGGAGGGGGTCCTCGTCGGTGGGATGTCACTTCGGCGTAGGCGACACTATGCTAGACTTCATCGATCGGAAGTTAGCGGTGAACGTAAGCAGAAGTGAGGGAAGGTAGGGTGGGGAGAGGAGGGTGGCGGAGAGCGAGCGAGAAGCGGAGGGCAGGGGGAGGGGAAGGGGAATGTGGATGGAATGAAGGAGATGAGGAGACGCCCGTGCGTGAAAATATGAAGGGCCAAGGGAGGGGAGAGCGCGTGCGAGGCAGGATATCGAGCATAGCAGGGGCGCACATATGTGGATAAAAGAGGACGCAGATATCGATAAATGCGAGCAGACTCACCCATCCCGTCGGCGTCCCGCATACACCAGATCTTCCCGTCGCCTTACATCGCCGTTCTCGTCGTCCGCAGCTCACCCAGAGCACTCCGCCTCGTCTCTATGACGACCCCACCATACGCAGCCTGTTGAGGAGCACCCCGAAGCCGAGGGAGCTCGGGCGATGCAAATGGAAGGGCGCTCAACGTCGGCGGTTAGGAGCAGGTGCTCCGCGCACTGTACTTCCATGGTCTGCCCCGCCTGCCGGTGGATAAGTATACCGCATGTTCGCGGCCCAGCCCCCGCGTCGTGGCCATCCACACCTCGAGGAGGGCAGTCGCCCGCGCCAGCATTGGAGGGGAATATGCTACGCGCCGAGAGGTACGTCGTCAGCGTCGTCCGAGGGGTGAGACAGGAGCTGGGGCGCAGTCAGGAGCGCCGCATCGTCGACTTCAGCCCAGCCACCCACGGCGCATGAGCGACGTGCTCGAAACCGACACCGTGGGTGGCTGGACTCAAGGTACGCCTTGGACACAGCGATCGAGACGCTAGCGCCGCAGCCGTATGGATGGATGGCGCAGGCGCAGGCGAGAGGTCTCGAAGACGGCGCGGTGTATCTGGTATTTGCTGTGGGCGCCATCATGACGCGGCCACCCAGGTACAAGAGAGGAAAGAAAGGCGCTACGTGGAATGGGGACATCCAGTGCGGAGGTGTCAGGATGGTGGGGTCCTGCGCTCGATCTCCCGGTGCTGGATGGCGCGGTACGAGGTCATGTTAATGGCGGGCGGGATATAGGGAGAGCGGTGGGGGCGCCGGAGTCGCCAGAAGCGCAGAATAGTCTTGACGGGCGTAGCGTGCGAGTCGTTTCGTGGTGATCTCCCTCCCAGCAAGTCCTGGTACATATACGACGGGATCTCCGGATCCTCCGACGCCACGGGTACCGAATCGGAGACGCGCCGGCTGCGACGCTACAAGTTGGGGCGCTCCATCGTCCCAGATGAGATGTAACGTCTCAGCGATCTCTACTTAATTGGATTCGAATTCAAAGTCAGCATTCGGCGACGTGAAGGGAGTCAGATGTGGGGGAAGAGGGCGAGAGCGAGAGCGAGGGGGGTGGGGGTGGAGGTGGAGGTAGAGTACATACCAAACGGTACGTGATGCATGACGGGAATGGCTGAATAGGGAACGACAGATAGATACACTGAGTAAGATCGTGCGCAGGAGGACGAGGTGGAGCGGGGAAGAATAAGGAAGGATGGAGCGACTTACCCAGGTAACCCACATCCCGCTCATTCAGCTAGCTGCCCCGCCCGGCATGGATGATAGCCCAATACCACGTACGCGGGAATATGCCACGCTACGCAATGAGACCTACCCACTGTCGGGTGTCTTGTGAAGAGGATGCGGCGTGTGCCCCGCTGCCGGTGGATGAGGAAGGAGGCTACCAACATGCGTCCCGCGCCCCAATGCTCCGCCGTGCACCATCGACCGAGACAGGATCCGTACGCGTCCGTGCCGTGTCGGGTCGAAGAGGTATACCCCACGTCCTCAGTGTCGCGGAGAGGTATGTCGTCCGTGTCGGGATTCAGTGCGGGTTCTAGGGTGTATCGGTCGGGTGCAAGGGTGTAGACGCGCTACATGGCCAACAGAACGTTGCGGCTTGAAGATAGCGTCGGCGGATGCGATACGTCATTGAGACGCGCTGCTGTAGTGAAGTGGAGGAGGAGCCGTAGTGAGAAGAGCCCCAATGCGCGGTGCTCTCAGTGGGCGCGGTACGAGATCGTCGGGACATGCTGGTGCGCTAGCGTCGGCCGCTACACCGACCACGGTCATCCCGCGCATCCCAGGCGCGATCGCTCTCCCTTGGTTGGGTGCTACTACGCATGAGGGGGACGGGATGCGGGACGTCGTGGTGAAGCGCCGTGTCTGAGTGATCCGCGTCCTGGACTCGGTACCTCCGGCGTCGAGAGGCGTGGCGTAAAAGGAGAGTAGGAGAGAGGGAGTCGACCAAAGAGAAAAATTCAGAGCCCGCAATGTTCAGCGCGCGCAAACGACGGAGCTCTAGAGCGTTTGTGGTGGTGTCGCGGCTGTCCGAAATCCCGACCGCGGACTCCAATATCTACGCCCACTAAATGAATAAGTCAGCATTTGGTGGTGGCGTGGAGCAAGCGTGGAGGGAGTAAAACCTAAAGGGGACGGAAAGAGGAGTGATAGAGGGACGAAGCCGGCGACATGAGTACTTAGTAGATGGGTGGATCTGAACAGGAGAGCCAGGTGAAGCTGGAGGATGGAGAAAGAGAAAGAGAATCTCACCCAGCATCGTCTCCTAAACTTGACTAGCCGACCGAGAAGTGCCGAATACACAACGGCACGGTGCAAATGCTGTGCGCAGCGACGACAAGGCAACAAGGATGTGGAGCGCGAGGGGCTTCGGGCCGCCTCGCCGCATCATTTGTAGGCGCCCCGCGCCTTGTGGATCACCGTCACTAGGCATTTGTGGTGATCACCGGCGCTGGAGAGAGCGCGATAAAATATCCGATACGGGCGGGGACGGCGCGAGATCCGGGACGTGGCTGGCTGCGCTCTCGCTAAGACACGCCGATGACCTAAGCTACGGACAAACAGCGTCAACTACGCCTAGACCACGATGTCCCAAGCCATCCTCACTACTACAAAGTTCCGGACCCCTTTTAGCGAGAGCACATAGAACCTCGAGAGAGTATGTACCACGACAAGTGGCAGCAGGAAGCAAGCAGCAAGCGCATCGACGCAGCTTGGGGAAATCAAAATGGAGGTTGATAGCCACCTGATGTGATGTGATGTGAGCTGACCAGCCGCTTTGGCTGATGGTTGAATGATGCAAAATTAATGCAAGGGACACGACCGCGAATCTCGTGAAAGCTATTAGACGAAGCAACACAATTTAAGGGTAGTATTGTAGAACAAAAAAAAATATGCAGCCACAGTGGCCCAATGCTCTCGAGAGGAGTCGAACCTCTGTCTCCCACTGGCAACATGCGGACGTGCAGAAACCATAGGCGGTGGGTGATTTGCCACCTAATCAACGAGGGCTTTATATCTTTCAATTACCCTTGGTATAGCGCCTTCGAAACTCGAGTGTACGGCAAACGAGCTTAGGCCTGGTTCCCGTTACTAGTACTTTTCAAGTTAAGATGAGTTGTCATCAATCGACCTATCAGTGTTCTCAGGCAGTCCAAATCGGCACAAAAAGGCTGCGTGAACGGCATGCCCTTGGGAGGATTCGAACCTCCCCGTCTTCCACGCATTATGGTTATGGTAGGCTTATATGCATAAAATTTGAACCAAGATATGAACCCCTTAATAATCCATTTTCGAGATGCAACAAAAAATACATCGAAGAGCGTGGCAGGACTTCAGATCTCAAATTCGAATGGGTGATAGCGGGCGGGTGGTTTACTATTAAATCAAGAGGGGCTAAATTGGGACCGAGTATGGCTACCTTCAGACAACAATAATACAGGTGTCGATTGATTAATCCACGAAGGCTCACTCCCTTATATTCGGTGGGAAAAAATACAGCGATCGTTCAAGCAACTTCTTCAAACGAAGTTCATCCTCGTTTGGATGCGGACAAGCACATTGGCATGGATTTCATAGCTCGCCTTGTAATCAAGATCAATAATAAACTTATGAGGCAAAACAAGATAGATCCATCTGAGACATACCCTCGGGAGGATTCGAACCCCCGTCTCCCACTGCACGTTTCTGCACAATCCAAAGTGTTCATGGGTGATTTACCATTAATCTACAAGGGTTAATATACAGCAATTTGAACCAGGATATGCCCCCTTCAAAAAAAAATAATTCGATGCGTCAAGATGCGAACAAAAACACGGACACAATCAATTTCCGGCATCGAGGATTCGAACTTCCATCTCCCACTGGACTCATGTGCTTTCGAAATTTAGAAAGTATCGTGGGTGACTTGCCATTAATCAACAAGGGCTTAGATACCTCTATTTGAACCAGGATATAGCCCTTTCAACACTATTTTAGGCGACGCAAGGAAAAAACATCGATAAAAATCACGTCCTTGGGCACGGGCTGATAAACCTCAATTCAAACCAGTCTAAGGCACCACCATAAAAATCATTGTCATAGCAGCAACAAAAAGTGTTCAGATCCGAGTCTTTACCAGGCCCTCAGGAGGATTCGAACCTCCGTCTCCCACTAAGTCCTTTGTCACAGACTCACTGTCGGTGGGCGATTTTTCCATTAATCAACAAAGGCTTATATATAGCAATTGAACTGGGATATGGCTCCTTCAAATCAATTCTTTAATATGCAAGAAAAAGACTGACCCAGTTCCGGCACCATGCCCTCGGGAGAATTCGAACCTCAGTCGCCCACTGCACGTTTGGTCGAACCATTAATCCACGAGGGCTGATATCGATGAACCCACGATATGCCCCTTTCTAAAATTGATTCTTGAAGATGCAGAAAAGAAGACTGACCAATTTCGCCACTATGCCCCCGGGAGAATTCGAACCTCCATCTCCCACTGGACTCATGTACTTTCATCTTCATCTTTATATTGCCTGGGTTGTTTTTGTCCACAAATGAATGGCCTGAACATGTTTTGGAGAGCTGCGACCGCTTTCAGTTCCAACGCAACTTTTTTCAAGCAAGACCTGTAGTTGATCCGTAGCCAAATACGGTAATCCTTAGCCTTGCTGCGAGGCTAAGTCGCATCAAAGTTAAAGAGCGAAGAAAATTCACGCAGTGTCAAGGTTTTCGGAAATAGTTGTAATCACCGGACGCGGGTTCTTCCTTTTCCAAATTCGGCGCCGTACTGATGTCGTCGCAGGTCGTCGCCCCGGAAACGTGCATCACGTCTCAACCATACTATGTTCCCCACGTTGCTGGTTTCGCCGTCTATCTCATTTCCCCAAACTGGGTACGTGAGCTCGGCTCGGGAGACTAGTGGAGGTGGGGAACGATGGCGTACATAATACCTGTAGTATGCCAGGATGCTTCCCCAAACCGGCGTTCCGAAGCGGGACCGTGCCGTGTAATATCTACCTACCTACCCCAACATTTCCCTGGCTATAAAAACCTCCCCCGCGCGCGCTGAGCATGATCATGAGTATTGGGCCCTGACGGTGACGGTTTTTCGGGATTTTCGCCGTGTCAGAATGAGGTACGGGCTGGGAGACGTCGAATTCTTTTCTTCCTCTCTTATCTCTTTTTCATCTTATTTAATTCCGCGGGACTAGAATAGCGTTGACTGTCGCGTGCGGCGTGGATAAGTCGGGATAAATATATTGTACTCAACTATGTATGTCCCCTGCAAGTTCCAACTTCTCATACATACGGCAATCATTGATCGCAGCTTACCACATTGAACAGCTTTCCTCATGATGAGTAACGCTCAATATGAGACGGTCGGGTCATCTTCCGGGTGTTTCCATGGCGCTGAACACGCTGTTGCTCTCCACAACTCTTCACTGGCATCAGAACAAGCAAAATTAGGTCCGAGATAAATGCAAGGGGAGACGTGATACATAGTTGCGTCATATTTTAATAGGTTGACATAGACTGGAGTTGAACAAGCCAAGAAACCACGACAAGCCGAAAGTCGAGGGACCAGAACTTAAAGTATCATTACATTCAAGCGGAACATCAGGCTTGGTACCAAATCTGAGATCTGAGGCTCCAACGCAGTGTACTTAGTACACGGACTCGGTCGGTCCTGGGAACTACACTGCAAACGAAAAAAATCGGTGGTTTTACATGGGCGTTAATGAACATCATCGGCACACTCTGGGACGCTCGGAGCTCTCACCGCGGGACCTTTTCTCTTCCCCCCCATCGCTTCTTTTCCCGCAGTTCAATGAAGCCTTTTTTGTATAAATACACTGCGGGAGATTGGCGGGGGAGCTTTTTTTGAGCGTCATTGACTCGCTCACCTACGAATGCTGGAGCTTGGCCGGAGTGAAGTTTGAATCGATCTGATCCGTTGATATGCGATCAACCTTCGCTACTTTACGGCGTTGCCTACGGGGACGCATCTTCGCGTGAGGGGATAGTTTCTTACCTGTTTAAGAGAGCGCTGCGAGAAGTGGTGCTTCATTTCTTCCTCTCTTTCCGTTGCAATCACTCGAACATGCGTTTCTCACTCCTCGCTGCGCTCGCCCTCGTCGTGCCTGCTCTGGCTGCTGTCGTTCCATTGAAGACGGTCATCAAGGTCGCTGAGAAGAAGGAAGGCAGCTACATTGTCACCCTCATGGACGGCACCGTTCGCACTTCTGCTTACGAGGGCACCACCTATACATATGACAGTCTTTTCAACGGGTTTGCGTGAGTTGAAGAACTCTACTTACAATCGCACACTGACTGGAATATTTAGTGCCAACCTCGATGCCGACGCACTTGATGCGCTTCGTGCTGATCCCTCTGTTGCATCCATCGAAGAGGACGGCGTCAGCCGCACACTGTCCATCGTTACTCAAACAAATGCTGTACAGTTCATTTCTCTGCTTTCCTGCCTTCAACTGATGCCGATCTCTACCCTAGCCTTGGGGCATCAGCCGTGTCGGTCAAGATGAAAAGCTCAACGGGACATCGGTCACTGCCTTGAACTACACCTACACCTACGATGATGAGGCTGCTGGCAACGGCGTCGACGTATACGTCATCGGTTCGTATAATTTGGCAAAACATTTTTTCATGTCACTTATCACTATTCAATGACATGCTCTTTAACAGACACCGGAGTCTTCATTGAGCATGTTAGTGGTTATTCGCGCACGCTTTGCTTATGTTCTGTTCCGACGTATTATTCGTAGGCTGAATTTGAAGGCCGTGCTCGTTAGGGTGCCACCTTCGGCACTGATTTACCTGATATAGACGACAATGGACACGTACGTCAATTGTTTTAACAGTAAGCGTTCATGTACTAAATCTTGGAACTCAGGGAACCTTCTGCGCGTACGTATTTCCCGCTCTGGCCGATATTTGTGCTCAACCACGACGTTGTCAGTGGCACTGTCGCTGGTGTCCAATTTGGTGTGGCCAAGAAAGCGAGCATCATCGCAGTCAAAGTCATTAATTTTGGGGGAGGTGGCTTCAATTGTACGTGCATATCAGCATATCTCAAGTAAACCTGAATAATTTCGGTCTCCACAGCCGATATGTAGGATCGCCCCATCTTTTTCACGCTCGGATGATGTTAATCTTGACTCTGCTCCAGCATTGCCGGACTTGCTTGGATCGGCAACGCGGCGGCTGAATCGGGCAGGCCTTCCGTCGTTTCTATGTCTCTCGGTGGAGGAGCCTCCGATGCAATGGACGCTGCTGTCGCAGCGGTATGTTGTAACGCCTATTTATTTGTCTAAGAGTTAATTCACCTGTTCTAGCTCACTGCCTCTGGCGTCCGTGAGTGAACTTACACGTCATTGAACGCCTGAATTAATAGAAATAAGATGTCGTCGTCGCCGCTGGAAACTCCCATTCAGACGCTATCGCCATATCTCCCGCTCGGGAACCATCCGTAATCAGTGCGTATTCGTTCATTACTCAACCACATCGTGACTTATCCACCTACCTCTACAGCCGTCGGAGCTACCACCCTCGATGACGCTAAGGCTCCTTTCTCAAACTTCGGTGCATCAATCGATGTGTTCGCTCCGGGTATGAACACTACCAGCGCTGGGATCACCTCACCCACCTCTACCGAAATGGCATCGGGCACCAGCATGGCCTGTCCCCACGTTGCTGGCGTGGCGGCCTATATCATATCCGCAAAGGGAAACAGCTCCCCTGCCGAGTTGAGTGCAACTATCAAAGGCCTTTCCGTCCAGGGAGTACTCACCGGTATGCTTTACAAACATTTCGTTGTCTCTCGGTCACTGCTTGATACTGGATGACAAGGTATCCCGGAGGGAACGCTCAACGACCTCGCCAACATCAACTAAATTGACAATACGAAGTGAAAATGTACATCCTGACAGCCTTAGCACAGCTACTATCAGCCCACCTTACACTTGTTCTTTACCTCAGACCATCACGCTCCCTACCTAGTATTTGGTATCTCCCGATTTAATGGTATAACGTGGTGCTTCGTACTGCTGCCATAAGTACACCACTACATATTCACAGAGTCCCGGAAGAATATATGTCAGAAGTCTGAGCCACCTCGAAGTTGCGGCCCTCAAGATATATAACTTTTCCCGAGATACCGATCAAGTTTATTATAAAGTTAGGGAACCTGACAGAAGGTGGTTTCTCTAGAGTGGCCGAGAGTGGCCGCCATGCACAAAATTAGCCTTATCCTTGCGAGCTGTTGGTTCTCCGTGGATCGCTGCCACCAGTTAAACGCCTGATGGCAATTCGGAGAATTCCGGTGACAGGGAGAAACAGAAAGAAACAATTCTCTCCCACAGGACTTCGACAACATATTCAGACAATCACCGAGTTTCACTCTAAAGACGGAAGGGCAGACCGGTCAGACTGCAGGTGAGACTCAAATAGCGCGCGCCGGCTTCGGTGAGTAACTGAAACAAAAAGAACTGGGTGAAATTCAGTGAATATGGCATAAAATACTCAGAAAGTCCGCCGTTTGGAATATGCAAACGCGACTCGTTACGCCACCAGATAACAGGGGAAAGGAGAAAATGAAGGTACATTGGCGAGATCTGCACCAAGCCGAGAGACCGCGCCAACAGATCACGCCATGGCAAATCCCAGCACATCAATGCGCGGACGCTGGCCAAAAGTGGCCTGCGGCGAAGGTGAGGTGATAACGGCCGATATCTATGCCAACGGCCGAATTTTCAACAGCCGAACCAACCAACTATCCAACGACAGGACGAAAAAAAATACACGAAAGAAACACGAATATAAACAAAAAAAGAAAGAAAGAAGGAAGGACACAGCGCACCTATCCAATGCGCTCTGCTGCAGCTGCAGCTGCTAATCTCCGAGAAGCGGTGCGCCTGGATGTAAAAGGGGGAGGAGACCCGGGTCTACATGCAATTCGTCAGCATGAAGTAAAATCCCCGCTGCGTGGAAGAAGCTCACCCATAAAAACGAAACTCGACGAACACGGAATGCGCGCGCCACCATGAGCGCCGTGGACACCTATGCGCCGCAAAATAAATCCTGCCACCACAGCACGACAGCACAATCTAATGGAGTCCGCACAAAAACGCGCTGCCCGCCAAAAAAAAAAAAAACGCGGTGACCTAGGGTCCTGTTTTTAATTCCCTAGCCAATTATAAACGGTTTTC